AAACCCGAAACCTTAAACCCTAAGACCCGAAACCCGAAACCCTAAACCCTAAACCCGAAACCCGAAAACCTAAACCCGAGACCTTAAACCCTAAGACCCGAAACCCGAAACCCGAAACCCTAAACCGGAAACCCTAAACCCTAAACCAAAAACCTAAACCACAAATCCTAAACCGATGTCACCGAAACCACAAATCCTAAACCGATGTCACCGAAACCATGAGACGCCCGAACCCCGCGACAGCAGGCCGCATCTTGGCTTCCCACGGCTAGGTACATGAAGATGGCCTTGGGTCTGGGTGTCGACTTGAGGTCTTAGGGTTTAGGGTTTGGGGTTTAGGGTTTAGGGTTTAGGGTTTAGGGTTTAGGGTCTAGGGCTTGGGATTTGGGGTTTAGGGTTTAGGGTTTAGGTTTAGGGTTTAGGGGTTTAGGGTTTAGGGTCTAGGGTTTGGGGTTTGGGGTTTGGGGTTTAGGTCTTAGGTTTAGTTCTGGGTTTTAGGGTTGCTTCTGTGGGGTTTGATCCCTTGGGACCGTGGGTTTCTGGGACAATGCGGATATGAGGGCTTGGAGGCGGGAGATACTTTGCTTTACCTTCCTTGACCTTCCTTTCCCCGACTCTACTCTGTTCTACTGTACTCCACTTTCCTGTACGCTTCACTTTGGACTCTACTTTAACTTATGCCATTTTATTTCACTTCATTTGACTTTGCTGGATTTGCATTAGTCTAATTTATTGTACTCTGCTCACTCGTTCTTTTACTCACTTGCATTGTCTAAGTCTGCGGGTGTATGTGCAAGTAGGCTCTGTACGTGGGTTCGTGATCCCGCTTGTGTCCAGATACTGTTCTGCATATTTTCCTACGAAGCATTGCCTGCTAGAGTACCGACTTCTCAGTGCTTGTTGTATGTCCAACGTGCGCATGTATATGTGTCGAATGTGCGTCGGGACTGTACTGAAATCCCCAGACGCCTGATTCTCGCAATACTGCATAAACCCGTCCTGTCAAAGCCTACGAATCCGTAGTCCGCTGAGCCTTTGAGAAATCTTTGGGCTACAGTAATTTTCTGCAGCTCGCACCTTTTTCCTCGTACGCGAAGCTCAGCCGGTTGCAGGAGTTCCTTCAAAGCTCCATCTTGTTCCATAGGGCTCTATCCAAGGGTTGACGGCTTACGCCTTTAGGGTTGACGTAATACAGGGGCCTTAATAATTAGAATAGGGTTTTGGGGCCCATTCTACTGTAATTATACTAAGGAACCCCCAAAATAGTATTTGCATCTATTTAGGCCCCTACATTAAAACTGTTTTGGTAGTTCCTTATTAATAATTGTTTCGGTCCCTACATTTTTCGGATTCAACAATAAAACCCTAAACCCTAAACCCTAAACCGTATACACCCTAAACCCTAAACCCTACAGCTCTGATCGCCGAAAACTGCGCTCAAATTTGCGGGCGTTCACACGTTCGCCCCGTGGCGACCTGCCAGCTTCGACATTCTGGGTTTAGGGGCTTAGAGTTTGAGGGTTCAGGGTTTTAGGGTTTAGGGTTTAGGGTTTCGGGTTTCGGGTCTTAGGATGCAGGGTTTAAGGGTTCAGGGGTGCAGAGACTAGGGTTCAAAGGCACAGGGGTTGAGAGTATAGGATTGAGGTAGAGTTCAAGCCTGAGGGGCGACTCAGGCAAATATCTTAAATTTACAGACGGATCCCAAGTAATGTCACGTATATTGGTGGAGGGAAGGGCTGCTAACCCAAAACCGACTGGGGCTGAGTCTGGCTTGGTCGCGCCATGTGGCAGAAGTTTAGGCATCTACAGCTACTTCTTGAAGGTTCCTGCGTAGTTACAAGTTGGTTGAGCAGTAAGTCATATGTGCTGGGTAACATCCAACCTTAAGAACCCCAAACCCATGTTTTTGTAGGTTCTTATTATAAACCCTACCATGGGATTTATAGGGACCCCCACAAAAAGGTAGGTTTTGGGGTTCTGAAAAGGGAGACTTACTGTACCTCTAAGCCTGCTTACTAAGGCCGATGATGCTTAGGACAGCAAGCCCTCGGATCAAGGCGCGAAACCTATAAACCCTAAGAGGTTTAGGGTTTAGTGTTTAGGGGCCAGCAGATTAAGACTAAAAACCCGCGAAGCTCCAACATACTAAGCCTATCAATCCTGAACCCTAAACCCTAAAACCCTAAACCCTAAACCCTAAAACCCTAAACCCTAAACCCTGAACCCTCGATATGCTTTTGCTGGCGTTTTGTCAGCATGGATCCCAGAGCTGCGCTCGCCGCAGCTTGTGCTGCTTCGCAGTCTTCCCGAAGACGTGGGTGGCGTGGTACGTTATCATCCTGGGCATGAAACCGTGTAGGGTTTAGGGTTTATGGTTATGGGTGCTTGAATCATCTTAACAAGGGCTTGGGGAATGTTATCTACAGAACAGTCAGTTATAATCAAGCAGGTACGTTATCCACCCCTGACATGAAGAGGCGTTCTGCGTGTACTGTAGGAGCCTGAGCACCCTTACCACTTGGAAGGTGGTGTTGGTGTGTGGGTGGGTGTGTATGTATGTGTGTATATATATATATATATATATATATTATATATATATATAGATGTATTTTTTCATTTTTAATATATGTATTCAGCTCTTTTTGTTGTTTATTATAGTTCATTACACTATAGTTAGCTATGGTTATGGTGATAGCCCTGCGGTTCCATAATGAAGAGAGCCCTTCGGTCTCTTTCCCAATGCGGACTGCATCCGCATCTTCATATGGCTCAGTGTTGGTATACAAAGAGACCACCTAAAAAAAAAAGGAAAATGATACCACTTGGGACCTGAAACCCTGAAACCTGAACCACACCTGGCCGCTGCGAGCTAACAGTTTCAAACAAACGGTTTATGGTTGAGGGTTTAAGGCTTATTGTTTGGGGTTTTGGGTATAGAAACCCCATGAAACCCGGTACCTCATCTCAGTGAAAGTCCTAAACCCCAAACCCTAAACCCCTAAACCCTTAACCCTAAACACTAAACCCCTAAAGCCTAAACCCTTAACCCTAAATCCTACACCCTAAACCCTAAACCCTAAACCCCTAAACCATAAACCCTAAACCCCTAGACCCTAAACCCTGAACCCTAAACCCACCAGGCTGCTGGAACGGCTCTTTCAGGGCTATCTCGGGGTTGACGCAGCCCAGGACGTTCTCAAAAGGGTTCATGAGGCAGTACCTCAAAAGCTTAGGGTTCAGGGTTTAGGGTTTAGGGTTTAGGGTTTAGGGTTCATGAGGCAGTACCTCAAAAGCATAGGGTTCAGGGCTTAGGAGCTCAGGATTTGTACGTCAAAAGCTGAGGGTTCAGGGCTTAGGAGCTCAGGGTTTTCTCTTTCGGGCTTGGCGCTTCAAAATGATTTTCCTCCAAGAGAAAAGTCTAAAGTGTCCGGGTTGGGGTTTTATTATGGAGCCAAAGGCCTAAACCCCTAAACCGTAAACTGTGGGTGCAGGGCAGGGATTTAGGCTCTCAGGCTTGGGCTGCGGGTTTAAACGCGCCTAAACCCTAAACCCTACACCCTAAACCCTAAACCCTAAACCCGAAACCCTACACCCTAAACCCTAAACCCTAAACCCGAAACCCTAAACCTAGGCCCCTATAGTACCGGAAGCTTTGTGTGCAGGTCCCGTTGCGTGAAGGTCTGCTCGGGCGGCTCGGACGCGCAGGCCGTGCTCTCACAGTGCTGGAAGCAGCCCACGTACTCCGGATTGCGCTTCTTCCTGGGATAGGGTTTAGGGTTTAGGGTTTAGGGTTTAGGGTTTAGGGTTTAGGGTTTAGGGTTTAGGGTAGCCCTAAACCCTAAACCCTAAACCGCTTTCGGCTGCTCCGATTTTTAAGGGTCAGCAACATCCAGTGTTGCTTGGAGGTCCCCTGCAGAAAAGGGGGCCGAGTCCAAAAGAGCAGAGTTCCCAGAACACGCTCCGAAGAGTCAGAGCGTGGCGGGCTTGGGGACCTAAGGGTTTCGGCGTTGGGCTTGCCTTGAGCCGTTTAGGGTTTACGGTTTAGGGTTTAGGGTTTAGGGTTTAGGGTTTAGGGTTTAGGGTTTAGGGTTTAGGAGGCGGGTGAGGGCAAACCTAAAACCCATACACCCCGGACCATCTATACACCTCGAAAACCCCCCCTATCTAAAGCCCTCAACCCTTACTCTGATTATAGGTATATAAGGGCACCAGACTCCACAAACCCTAAACCCTAAACCCCGAACCGGCCCTAAACCCTAAACCCAAACTCTGAGAGGCCGAGCATCCTCTGTCGGCTTACCACGAGGGAGTCCCAGAAGTTCTCCTGGTCATCGAGGTGCGGCCGCCGATCGCACCAGTCGACGCTGATGTTGAAAATCTGGGGCTCGGGGGAGAAAGACTTCAAGCCGAGGGCTTCTCGTGTTCAGCGCTTTAGGGCTTTAGAGCTTGGGTTTCTAGGGTTTAGGGTTTAGGGCTTTAGGGTTTGGGGTTCTAGGGCTTTAGGGCTTTGGGGCTGTGGGTTTTTGGGGGCTTCGGGGTTTTAGGGTTTGGCGTTTAGGGTTTAGGGTTTCAGGGTTTAGGGTTTTAGGGTTTAGGGCGTAGGGGTGAAGATATCGAATGAGTCTGATGACCCTCATCCACGGCAACCATGAAGCCCAAGCAGTCCCTGCCTAACGGGTGGACTACACTGACCCCCAGAAGCATCCGCTAAAGTGGAGCCTTTGGAAAAAGGCCATACCTGTGAATCTATAATGGTAGGATACTGTCTAGGGGTTCTACAGTGAACCCCAGAAAGTTGGAGCATGGATGTAAGATGATTAGTGCTAGGATCCCTTATACTTTATATTAGGGGCATAAGGATACTGATGTTCCAACTTTTTGGCTTCTACTGTATGTGGTTAAGTCAGCTCAAGGATGCGGACTGGATCTGCGAAACCAAACCCTCAACACAAGGCCACGGGCCCTGCACCCAAAACCCTAAGCCCAAACTGCAAACCCAAACCCTAAACACCACCTCCCAAACTAATCCAAAATCATAAGCCCAAGCTTAAAAGCCTCATCCCCAAACCCGACCCCGTCTAGCACCCTTGCCAAAAACCCCTTGTAGTACCCTGATAGAACCTGTCTGGCAGCCTGATAGCACCTGAACCCTAAACCCTAAACCTGAAGCCCAAAGCCCTAAACCCTAAACCCTAAAACCAAAGCCCTGAACCCTAAAACCCTAAACCCTAAACCCTAAACCCAAAGCCCAGCACCCTAAAACCCTGAACCCTAAAACCCTAAACCCAAAGCCCTGAACCCTAAGCCGAATCCCCAGGGCCTTCGTCACAAGGCGAGGCTTCTGCCGGCCTGCGACATAGTAGAAGCCTGTGTTGGCCTTCGTAGAGCGTCGGGTTTAGGTGCTTTCGGCTCAGGTTTTATGATTCAGGGTGTAGGGTTTAGAGGATAGGATTTAGGGTTTAGGAGTTATAGGGTTTAGGGTTTAGGATTTAAGGTTTAGGGGTTAGGATTTAGGATTTAGGGTTGAGGATCTAGGACGTGGGACTTGGGGTTCAAGGTTTATGGTTTATATATGGTTAAGGGGCAGTCTGCCAAGTTAGGATCTGTGGTGTGTGTGTGTGTGCTCTTGTGGGCCGATTATACCTGGGATGAACAGGCGACACTACACCCCAAAGCCCCAAAACCATAAACTCCCATTCCTAAGCATTCAGATCTTTTTGCGATGGTCCTTAAAGGAGTTGGCTGCTTTGTCAGGGGTCTTGAGAAGACTTGCTGTCCCGAAGATCTAATAAAGAATCCGGAAAAATAGGCCAGGGCCAGGGATTCCGACTTAAGATGTTCAGGTTTCTGCCTTAAGAACCTAGACCAGGGTTTGGAGTTTCTATTATTAAAGAAGCCTAAGGAAGAGTACTACGAACTGTGCAAGCCCCTCTCTTTTTGGCTCACCTTCCCCTTAACTTAGAGCTCGAAGCCTTGTTCGGCTCACTCTTTTCGCCGAAATGATCGCCGGGCTTGATGCCAGGAGGCAGGAATTTCACCTCAATAGCACGGAGGCTCAGGGATTGGAGCTTGAGGTTGAGGGCTTGGAGCTGCGGGCTGAGGGCCTATGTGTCTTGGCGTACTTCTGAACCCCTCCTAAAAGTTAAACTTTTAGCCTAGATAATATAGTTCATATAGAAACCCAAAAAGTTAAAGTCTAAAGAGCCAACCAGAAGAACGCCAAGGTGTACTTACAGATCTGCGGTGTCGCGTCTCGAGTTTGAAGCTGTAGATTCCTGGGCATGCTCTTAAGCCTCTATCAACGCCACCGTCTGCATTAACCCCGCTTAAACTCATAGCCCCTTCAGAGCTAGTGAACCCTGGTAGAGCCGTCTGAAACCCCATATAGTAAACCCCAAAAAGTTGGAAACCGGATTAAGGACAAAGAGTGCTGGCATTCCCCATACATTGCTCTTAATGATTGAGGCTATTGGGTTTCCAACTTTTGGGCTTCTACCTCAATGCAGTATAAAGCTACCTCCAGATACATACAGAAGAAGAGGAATGAGCGAAATCAGCTCTAGCCACCCCGTAGACGTAGTCATAGGTCCCGGCGCGCATCAGGCTCCCCAGTGACACATTGGACGCGAAGGGGTCACTCCTGACCAGGGTTTGCGACTTCCGGAGCACAAGATGTCTCCCTCAAGCTTAAGCCGAAAACTCGGAACCCTAAAGAAAGCTTACCTACTTCAAACCTGAGCCCTCAGACCCTAAACCCTAAACCCTAAACCCTGAACCCTAAACCCTCCAACTTTCAACCTCAAGGTCTGAAGCCGTAAACTTAGTAGACCCCTTCGGTCGACCGCTGGTGCGCCCCGGAGGCTCCTGAAGACGTTGTCGCTGTCCGTGAAGACCACGTCGTACAGCCCAGTTGCTAGCACGTAGAGTACAGACCGTAGCTTGTTGCAGGCAACCACCATGAAGCCGTTGCTGCCAAAGTTGGCATTGCCTTCATAGTGCCTGAGGGTATGCCCTAAGCCGAAAGCCCTGCGCCCAACCCCCTGAGACCTCGAACCCCAAACGAAAGGCCCTAACTCCTCTATCCCAGAAAAGGCCCTGGCCTTGCGTTTTGGGGTTCCGGGCTGAATAACGCATTCTTACAAAGAACAAGAAAAGCACTTCCACAGCTTCGAAGACCAGATGCTGCCCTATGGACGGGAAGCTCCTGTTCGGCATCCTTCCTTAGAGGCTCTCAAGACTTTTGGGTGTCGAACTTAAGATGAATCTTGCTGCAGCATCTTCGCGCGCATTCTTGAAGCCCTAAACCGCCAACCCGAACACCCTGCGGCACTTTGAGCATCATGATCTGATGAAAACGGCCCCCCACTCGCTTTTGGGAAACGGCCTTTACAAGCCTCTTGTCTCCTGAAACCCCCAAAAATCCGAAAATCTAAACCCTGAACCCTAAACCCTAAACCCCAAAACCACCAGGTGTCGATGCAGCTCGTCGTCCATGGCGATCACCAGCCAATCTAACCCGAGCTTCCGAGCAAAGCACTCCCAGTTCTCCAGCATGTCCACATACCTCGGGAAGTTCCCCTAAACCCTAAACCCTAAACCCCAAACCCCAAACCCTAAACCCTAAACCCTAAACCCCAAAACCCTAAACCCTAAACTCAGGGCGTGGAAGATCTAGTGTTTAGGGCTTGAGGTTTGGGGTTTGGGATGCAAGGGTGTCCACAAATGGGAGATTAAAGTTCAAGGCGCCGGGTTCAGATTTTGCGGCTTTGGGGCTCTGAACACTGCACCCCGAACCTGAAAACACCGAACCCTACACCTTTGTCCTCAAAACCGTAATCAAGACCCCCAAGCCTGCAAGCCCAACCCAAAATCAATCCCTAACCCGTGCAGAACCCTTACACGGATTCATCGAGGACCCATGGCGAATCCGAATAATCGAATTCAACCCTAAACCCTAAACCCTAAACCCTAAACCCTGGATCATAGAAGTCTTATTGAATCATACACAACCCTGCAAGAACCCCCCCCTAAAGAGCCTTGACGAACCCCCAAGATCCCCAAGTTTAAACAAAGGGCCCTTACAGACCTAGGGTTTAGGGTTTAGGGTTTAGGGTTTAGGGTTTAGGGTTTAGGGTTTAGGGTTTAGGGTTTAGGGTGAACCTCTGTCCCCGAAGCGGCCCTAAACCATCCTGAAAACGAACCGGTTACCAAATGGGTAGCTCTCTAAATTAAAAAACCCTTCGGGTCCTTTATATAAGGGTGCCGTGCCATATTGGGGGAGCGAAAAAGGGACCCTAACTTAGAGAACTACCCAAATTGGGGATCCCAAAAATGAGGGACCCGAAAAAAGTACCCTAAATAGTAGGATCCTTATTATAAGGACCCCCAAATAAGGTACCTAATTTAGAGAACTACCCAAATGACTCCAGCTCAGTTTCCCGGAGTTGGCCGCCGTGAGGAGAAGCACGTGGCCCAACTCCGGTGCACGAGACTTGTCCTGGAGCTGGGATGGGGTTTAGGGTTTAGGGTTTGGGGTTTAGGGTTTAGGGTTTAGGGTTTAGGGTGCTGAAAACGGCTCTGTAGGGCCTAACTGGGGCTTTGCCAGGGTTTGAAAGAGCTCTGTAAGGTCTGATTAGGATCTTTGGGGAATGATTCATAGGGTCTGATAGATGGTATTAATAGTGGTTTGAATAACTTCTCATAATAAACCTTTATAGTACTGTTGATGACATAAAGCCTGCGTTACCCATGACAAGGAGAATATACCCTAAACCCTAAACCCTAAACCCTAAACCATATATCATAATTCCCAGAGTTTAGGTCCTGAAGGTAAGGCCGGATTTAGATCATCAACCGTCGGACTTTTAGGGTGAACCTTTGGTCCTCGTAGAGGCCGGCGTGCTGCCGAAAAAGCTCTGCAAGGTTCCTGGTATTTAGAGTTTAGGGTTTAGGCCTTAGGCTTTAGGGTTTAGGGTTTAGGGTTTAGGGTTTAGGGTTCAAGGTTTAAGGTGTAGGGTATAGGGTTTAGGGTTTAAGGTGTAGGGTATAGGGTTTGCCGTAGAATGGTGCATAGGCGGAAGTATCAAGCGACAGTGCAGTTTCGAGTGTGTCGTAGTTTGACGATTCGCCCTGGAGCCAGAATGTGGAGGACTCTGTCTCTTCTCTCTCCCACCCCACGCCGTCTGAGGCGGCCTGGGTGTAGGGTTTTGAATTGAGGGGTTGGCGTTTAGGGTTTAGGGTTCAGGGTTTAGGGTTTAGGGTTTAGGGTTTAGGGTTTAGGGTTTAGGGTTTAGGGTTTAGGGTTTAGGGTTTAGGGGTGTTTTTGAGTTCAGGGGCTTCGGCCTAAACCCCAAACCCGGAAAAGGCATTTGCGGTCCGGTCTTGGGGGTTCGTGATGAGGGCTTCGGGCCTCAGGGTCTTGAGCGTTGGGTTTAGGGGTTTAGGGTTTTTGGGTTTTGGGTTTAGGATTTAGGGTTGAGGGTTTAGGGTTTAGGGTTTAGGGTTGAGGGTTTAGGGTTTAGGGTTGAGGTTCGGGGTAGCTGCCCGTAGTAGCCCACCACACCTCCGCAAAATGAGCTATTTAGCAACCTAGAAGCTGCTATCAACAGCCTCGCACAACACGAAAGCCCTAAGCCCTAAACCCTAAACCCTAAACCGTCCAAAAAACGATCCAAGGCACACTGTGGAGGTGGTGGTCGTGGTGGGAAGCTCAGGGGCACCCACAAAGCCCCCGACGGACCCCTGCAGGAAGCCCACCTGCTGGTTTCCCAGAGACTCCAATACCCCTTAACTAAGGAATAGACCTTAAAGTATGGCGAGGATTTAGGATTCAGGGTTGCCGGTCTGGGTTGGAAGTTGGGGCTTACGGTGCAGAGTTTACGCGAGTGTTTAGGATCCTAGGTTATGGTCTAGCTAGTTTGGGTATCTGATGTCTGTGTATGGAGCAAAGTGGCGTCTAGGGCTTAAGGCTTAGGGAGCGCCGGGCTGTCAGCATTTGCTCCAGCGGTTAGGCCTTTTGTGACTCCTTGGGCTCGTGGGCGTCAGCGTGGATGGAGAGGTCTGAAGACTTAGCAGGAGTATCCCCACTCCCGTATTATAGCTAGACTGTGACATGCATCAAACTCCGGAGAAAAATCATGATCAACGCCTCCATATTACAAGGGCTTGGGGTTCTCTTTCTCCAGTGATCGACAGGGCTCGTTTGTTCGTCAAGCGAGGAGAGCTGTTGAAATCTTCTACAAGTAGAGGGGCTGTTTAGCATGTGATGTGCGCCCTAAACCCTAAACCCTAAACCCTAAACCCATTGTTGGTCTTGACAGCTCGACGGGCTTGTCATGAGCTTTCAAGGCTTTCGGATTGCAGATGTAGGACTACAGCTTCGGTGCCCTAGCAACCCTAAACCTCAATGCTAAAGCCCTAAACACCAAACTTCAGGGGTTTAGGGTTTAGGGTTTAGGGTTTAGGGTTTAGGGTTTATCTACTAAGGCGGCGAACAAAAGGGCCTGGGGTGCAGGAGAGCCCTCCCCAAAAGCACTTCTGCCTTGCCCATGGCGACCAGACCAACTAAGACCCCTCATTCCTTCGCCGGATGCCTTTAAAACAACGAATGGATCCCTACATACTCCCAACGAAGCCTCCTGACGGCCTCTAACCCCAAAATCCCTCAACCCTAAACCCTCTACTTGAAAGCCCCAAACCCTAAACTTCCGACGTAATCCCTCCACCTTGAAAGCCCTAAACCCTAAACTCCCGACGTAATCCCTCCACCTTGAAAGCCCTAAGCCCTAAACTCCCGACGTAATCCCTCCTCCTTGAAAAACCCTAAACCCTGAACCCCACGGTCCTGCCTTGCTCTGGAGCTCCTCAAAGAGACCGGTCAGCAGCTCGCCCGTCTTAGGCGCCGCTGAGGGGCTCGAGGAGCGCCGGAGCCCGGGGAGGAGGAGGAGAAGTACCTCTTGGAAGGTCGAAAACCCTGGGTTTAGGGTGTTTTTTAAAGCACCTTTTTCCACCTAGCAGTTAAGATCTGGTTTAGGGTTTAGGGTTAAACCCCCTAAGCCCCTAAACCACCTAAACCCGTAAACCCCTGAACCCTAAACCCCTAAACCGCTTAGGACCCCTGAACCCCAGATCCTGAACCCAGATAGGGTTTAGATGGTTGTGGGCCCAGGTTTATGGAAAGAAAGGCTCCTGAGTCCAAAACCCAAGACCCTTAACCTAATGTAGAAGCCTCAATAATTACCTAAATTATTCCTTGGGGCTCCTTATTACAATGACACTACAAAGGAGCCCAAAACCCTATTCTAATCATAAAGTTTAAGGCCCCTACATGTTTAGGGTTTAGGGTTTAGGGTTTAAGGTTTAGGGTTTAGGGTTTAGGGTTTAGGGTTTAGGGTTTAGGGGCTCAGGGCTTGCAGCTCCTGGGCTTCCATAGGGGTTTTCGGCTTTCCGGCGCTCTTGAAAAGTCTCCAAGGGCCCAAAACCCTAGTCCTTGCTCTAGGGTTTAGGGTTTAGGGTTTAGGGTTTAGGGTTTAGGGTTTAGGGTTTAGGGTGGGCCTTAGGAATTGTTTGGGTTAGGAGCTTGAAGCTTCTACGGTCTCTTCGGTTTCGGGGACGAGTTCAGGTCTTCGGATGTAGCAGTTCAGGCTTCGCATGCGAAGTTTGGGCAGAAAGGGGTCACGGTTAGAAACCCTAAACCCTAAACCCTAAACCCTAGACCACTATTCCACAGCCCCACGCCCTAACTCTGTAGCAACACCTTGCCCGGACATAACTTCTGCCCGGACAAAACTTCTAGGGTTTAGGGTTGAGGGATTGGTTTTAGGTTTCGCATTTAACCGAACAAGCCCTTAGCCCTAAACCACAAACCCTAAACCCATAACTCAGAACTTAGCCCTTACCTATAGTCTCCATTGTAGTTCCTTTTTTTGGTCTAACCAGTTATATCTTAAGGAATATATAAGGTATCCCCAAAAAGGAACTACAATGGAGACTATAGGTAGACCCTAAACCCTAAACCCTAAACCCTGAACCCTAAACCCGAAACCCTAAACCCATAACTCATAACCCTTAGCCCTTCGCCCTTCGAGCTCCGCTCTCTGCGCACCAGGCCCAGAAGGCAGAAAAGGCGTCGCATGGCACAGGCGGAGAACCCAAGGCTTTGGGGTTCCAGGGCTGAACATGTCGAACACGTGCAGGTAATGCAGGTTAGGGCTTGGAGTTTAGGGTTTAGGGTTTAGGGTATAGCGTTTAGGGTTTAGGGCTCTAACATTAGAGTTTAGGGGGGAAAAAGAAGCCGTGAGAGTTGGAAGAGGGTTTTGGGGTCAAGGATGAGGACAACAAGGGAGCGTTATCGTTTATTACCCGAATCCTCTTTTCGGGTCGTGAGATTTGTTTGGGGCTTTGGTGCTTTAATGCAGTTTCGGGGCGCCAAGGGGAGTCGTAGATTTTTACGGATGCTGCTGAGATTAAATCTTGAGGTCTTGCAGGCGGCGACAAGCAGAATAAACCCTTCGAAGCCAGGGCCCCACCTCTTGAGTGTGTGTTTGTTACACCCTTCGTGAGGCACCTTACACCCTTTGAGCAGAACACCCCCCAAACCCTAAACCCTAAACCCTAAACACTAAAGCCTAAACGGTTCAGGGACCGAGGCTGGAGGCTGAGCTTCGTGGGTCTAGATGGTGTGGGTTTCTAGACTTTCGAACTTGAGAGCTTCCAGGCCTCGGATGTAGGGGGTTTAGGGTTTAGGGTTTAGGGTTTAGGGTTTAGGGTTTAGGGTTTAGGGTTTAGGGTTTAGGGTTTAGGGTTTAGGGACTTCTGCAAAGTCGGGCTCAGAGTGTGGCACAATCAGGGCTACCAGTCTTAGTCTTGGGGTTTGGGATTCATGCCTCAGTGCTCAAGTCATGCCCTGTCGCTGACCCCTGTCCGAAGCGACCTACAGGACAAAACAAGGCTGAACTGCCACGAGCTCCGGGGAGGCAAAACGTAAACCTGGATTGTTGGGCACTGCATATACATGAGGAGCTTGGGCTCCTTCGGGCAACTTGGGCCGGACGCTCCAACGCACAAAGATCAGGAGGCCGAGTTAAAGATTTCTCGGCTGTTTGTTTAGTGCCTGTCTCGCACCTACGGAACAGCTGGTTTTTGTGTCTGACCCATGATAGCAAAGTTTAAAGGCGGTGTTACAGCTGCATCGAGGAATCGTATACTCACCCATGTTCACATACCTGCCAGGCGCGTGGCAACAGTTTCTGGTCAGGGGTCCGTGTCAACTTACTGAACAGTGGGGTCTTAGTCTGCCCATCTGTTGACAGGCACGTTGCGAAACACAGTCTCCAGGACTTCATCCACGGGGACTGAACCTCGGCTAGCAACCATGTCATAAATTTGTTGGGCATCCTGCTTCTGCTGCTCAAAAACTGCATTCATATCTGCAAGCTGCTGCTCCGCATGCTGGGCACGTTCCTCAGCTCGCCTTCGCTTGCCCAAAGAATCCTTCTCCTGCCTTTCAGCCTCTTGCTTCTGCTTTTCTGCCTGATTCGCACGCTCCATCGCAGCCCCTGCCTGGGCACATGCTGAGGCTGCCTCATGCTCCGCTTTTTCAGCCCGACGTCTTTGACTCTCAAGCTCCACTTCAAGCTGGCCACGCAGAAGGTCGTATGCCAAGTCTGCACTCTGGATGACATCCTGCACCCTCATTTCAGCGTTCTCTCGCTGTCTCTGCGCCGACTCCACCCGCGGTATTACGTCTTGCATCTTCATATGAATCTGTTCCCTCTCTCCTTGGCTAAGTTCTGAACCCCTCCTAAGTTAAACGTTCAGCTTGCATGATAGGATTGAGAAAAAATCGACATTACAAGAAAAGCCAAGTCTCTCTCCACGAAACTCGCACGCTGCCCGATCTCTTGCACCGCCATAGCAGCTTGTTCTCGGTCTCTTTCTGCTTGGCGAGCGCACTCCTCTGACCGCCTGCGTTCGCCCAGCATCTGCTCCTCCTGCTGCCGAGCGGCTATCAGCAAATGTTCTAACTGATTTGCACGCTCGGCCGCCGCCTTTACCTGGGCACTGGCTGAAGCTGACTGGTCCCGCTCCTTCATCAGCTCCCGTTCAGATTGCTGAAGAGATTGCTCCAAGTTTGCACACTGCTTGACCAGAGTCTGTACTTGAACCATGGCCTTTCTCTTGGCCAGCTCCACTTCTTGCATTCTCCGCTCCCAATCAAGCTCCGCCTCTTGCGCATGCTGCTCTGATACCTGAAGCTTGATGGAAAGCTCCTTCGCTTGAAGCGATAGTGTGTCCAACTGACCTTCTGCCTGACTTGCGCGGTGAAGCTCTGCCAGCCAGGCAGTCTCCAGCTTCTTTGCGCGGGCCTCAAATGCGGTTGCTTGATGCCTCAAACCATCAAAAGCATGCCGTTGCTCGCGAACCTGCTCTTGAAATTGATCTGCACACTCCACGGCTTTCTTTGCTCGCTCATCAGCCGAAGCCACTTGGCCTTCAGCTCTTTTTGCACGGTCCTCTTGGAAAGTCTTGGCACGTTGCTGCGTTTCGAGATCTTCTTGAAGTCGGGTCCTTCCATGTGCATGCTGCAGAAGTATGAAGCGATCCCTTTCAACTAGCACTCTTTGCCTGAACTCCCTGTCTTCGGACTGCCTCTGAACTTGCCACAAGTTCATGGTAGCCCGGCCGTCTTCGGATCGCAGTTTCAACATCCAGGCCCTCAGCTGCTGCGCCTGCTCCACATCCACGAATATGTCGTACTGATCATCCAGAACTCTGGATTCAGCATGGAGCTCAGCCTTCTGCCTGCTAATGATGGGAGTATGCAGACCCGGCAACTTCCTCCTACGCTGCCGAGACGATGCTTGCACTTTTTGGTTCAAAATCTCGTAGACACTGAACACAGTGTTGGGCACGTTCTCCTTGACGGTGTCTGCCAGAGCCTTTGCGAGGTGTCCACACTTGCCTGCACCGGCGGAGCAATCTTCCGCGCGGCCACCACTGAGACAGGAGTAAATCACGGCCTGTTGCCGGGTCGGTGTCGGAAGCTTACCGACTCGCTCCCTTATGACGCTGGCTCCTGGACCTTCACGGCACATGTCACAGAAGAAGACGTCACAGAAGAAGAGGACCGAGGCATGACGGACGGAGTCGCCCTCTTTGGACGTATGTAAGAGCTCGTCCAGTCTCACGTGCAACCTATTCAGGATTTCATCTAAATAAAGATGTGGCGAGCTGCAGTCGTTTAGCAGGAGCGCCAGTCTAGAGAGCTCATCTTGGTATGCTTCAATGCCATGTCCAGCGAAGAAAAAAGCGACCACATAGCAGGAGCAATCCAAACCCGCTAGGAAGTTCTCGAACGATGCCCAAAAGTGTTCGCGTGTAACGTTCCGCAGTCGGCATGCGCACGTGTATCCAATCTTTTCGAAGGCCTCGTCAATCAGATCTGCATCTTGCACCGGGGATGCAAGATCTCTCGCCCAGTTGTAGGCAGCTGTAGCCCTTAGGTCACCATAATCATCACAGCCAATGGACAAGACATACCTGTTAAACTCATGCCCAACGCCCGCGTCTTCTGGCATGTCTTGTGGGACACTGCGGCCTGCGAGGTCAGGTTGCCCAACTGCGCTGCTTCTTTGATTTGGCACATCACTCGAAGTTCCTGCGAAACCGGAGCTTTGTCGCGCCAAAGTCTCTTCGCTGCCATTTGGCGCTTGCAGAGGCAGCTCGACAGGATGGTGCAAGGATACGTACGGATTGAATTTGCACAAAAACACAAGCGCCACTGTGTGGAATATGCACAAAAGTGTGGATATGCACAAAAGCACAAGTGCCACTATGCTGCAACGTTGCAAGTGTATCCACTCTGTACAGCTGCGAAGACTCATATGAATCTGCAGCACGAACTTCTCTAGGGAGCTCAGTCGATTGGCCAGGTGCTCGGCCATCAGCCGGTCAGGGTCAGCAAACAAAGACACCGAGAGATTTGAGAAGGCCATTGCCAGCTACGAAGCCATCCCTAAACCCTAGACCCAAGACTCGTTCGGCAACAGATACTGGGACCATTGCATGACAGAGACTATTTATTTCATTCCCTGTCATGAAAGGGCCTCAAAACATAGAATTGGGTTTTGGTAAACCTTCTGCCTAGTCTAGGTATGCTACGGAATCACATTCGTAATTATTGCAGCTTGCTTCATCTGACCTACCTCCGCCTCCTCAAAAGCCACCCGTACAAGCAACCTGGCAATCTGCTGTTGATGGTTTAGGGTTTAGGGTT